CGGGAGGTTTTTGAGATAATTACGGAGCAACTCGGTTAAATCCGGTATAAAATGGTCTATTTAGTAATAGACAATATGGAATATCTGTGTGGATGATAGTACAAAATAATACCGGATAATGTTTATACGAAAATGTTAGATTACTTGTACATGTTTTGGAAAGAGAAAATAGAATGCCCATACAAAAAGTTTTCATAGTGAAATAATGTTTTACCCGTTATTATGAGAAAAGAAAGGAAATAATATGCCGATTAGGCTTGCGTTACTGCGTAATTGAAATGGATGATTCATATATTTTATCATCGTAGCAACTTCATGCACACGTTTTCAACGTACTGCTAAATTGCTAATGATAGCTGGGTACATCTCTTCATGATCTATTGCTTGGTTGAATATTTAATTTTTGTACAGTTCTAATTTGTTTTTAAGTAATGTATCTGGGCTCTCTTTGCATACTTTCTTTTCATCTGTGTCATTTCCAGTCATATAGAACTTACATATAAGCCACACAATTTATATACCGCTAAATCATTCAATTCATTTTGTTTTTAAAAAAATACTGACGTCTTCTTATTTTGCTAAGGAACACCGAATTATATCAGTTTTGGTTGCAATCGCCTATTTTATTTCCTGAGATTTCACACTTTGTTTCTTTATATATATATATATATATATATATATATATATATATATATATATATATATATATATATATATATATATATATATATATATATATATATATATATATATATATATATATATATAATCCTTCTAAAGACTACAATACGTGTATTTTTTGTATGTTCTCTTTATTAAACGTTCCATCTGATTTGTGAAAAACAGACTTATTTGTCACTTCAAAGAAATCAAATTTAATGTCAGCCATTAATTTTATCTCAAAAATGCATTTCATTAAATGCAAGATTCTTTTTGTTGCCGCTCATGACGTTAACACGTCAAACATTAAAACCTTAATACAAACAATATACTTCAAAGACACGCACCAGATTATTAAGAAAAATTCCAAACTTTAATTAAACTTTATCTATTCAAGCCGCAGTGGATGAATGTTGACGCCAAATGTAAATGACTTTGGTCATAATAATTCATTTTTACCGTTTATTTTTCACAAATACAATTAAGGTAATTTCTGACTCAGATTGCATCTATTCTTTACAAAGAATATCGTGGATATACGGTGTTGGGATTTGAAAAATTACTATTGTGTTGTTGAAGTAGTGTATGTTTTTAAAATCATAATTTGGTCATACGATGTTATATTAGAAAAATTATTATACTCTTGTTGAGCACTTTTTAAAAAATGAAAATATTATATAAGACAGCTTGAGTCTGAGCTGGCAAGTATATAGTACGGTGCTCGTTTAGACAAGACTGCTGGTGTCTTGTGTAAAGTTGTGATTAAGCTTGAAGTGCGATAGATAATTGATCTAAAATGAAATTAAGGTTATTTGTTTATACGACATCAGTGATAGAGAATACAGATTCAATTATAAAAAAGAGAACATTTGACGTGTGGCAGAGGTTGAGTTTCTAACAAATATTTTATGCTGACTTTTGGATTATTATTATTTGTGTATTATTTGTTTTGAGATTGTTCGGGTCAGGCGTTAGATTTTGACACTTGAAAGCTAGATTGTTTGTCGCTATGCTATCAGAACCAGGAAATAGTTATCCAATGCCACCAATAAACAATCACGGTCTACGTAGCTTGTATAATTCTAAATCGCAGAACGGTATCTTTAGCCCTTATAGAATTAGTATGTATTTGATATTTCCTAAGAGGAAACCATTTATATCAAAGAGTTCTTCAGAAATGCTGGTATTAAAATAAATATTTTCATGTGAAATTTCTACACCGCTTTAAAATACAAAAGAACACAAATTCATGCATTGGGCAAGGGCTTCGCTGGTGGTATATTATGGAGTACGAAGTCCATTTGCAAATGTGTGGCAAAGTATATACATTTAAAACAACACACCTAGAGATTTGCGAATCACCTGCGAACGACCTGGAAAAGTTTTCGAAATGTCTATATTGTTGATTCGTTATTGTATACAAAGAAACAGGTACTCATCCCATAACATCTCTGTAGGTACCAATTGTACAAACGACCCTGTCAGTGTGTTATAATTTTCCTCTAAGCCAGAAAGCAGATTAGCAAGATTGCGGGAAGATCATAAGTGGATATTGTAGAATGAATAAATCTTCGAACAATTTACATAAAATGTGATACATTTGTACAAAAGGAAGAGAAAGTAAAGCATGATTTTATACAATAATGACCAGATAAGTAGACACTTTCTTGTCATGTATCAGAGAAACTTAATAATTCGTTGTCAATATCATATACAGCAAACAAGGACAGAATTGAAATCACTTACTTGGTATGTTATTAGCATGTACTTGTCCAGCAAAAATGTATGCAAGCATACAGAAACAAGCTAATGTGATCCTCGTTCCATTTAAGTGTCGCCGCATTGTGTTAATTGCCTTAGTCTGTCCTGTAAAATAATTACGCAGTAATTGAAAACGGGAAGCGACATTTAGCTTCTCATACTTATGATTAATTTTCATTGAGAGTTACATTGCAGATGCATTCTTACAACAGGACATGCGCGTTATTTTCCTGTTCAACACGTTGACTTCTTTAGCGAGTAAAACAAGCACTGCTTTTGGCATACAAATAGTGTAAAATGTTATCTCTGTTAAGGTATTTGTTTCATTGGTACTAAGAAACTGACACGTCATTTAAACAAATTATTTTTAGGATATTTAATGCATGTTAGAAGCATTTTATCACATACATTATTTGTCATGAGCATAAGGCATATAGATTACGCATAACTGCCTGTGATATATTGATCAGATATTCTGGCGATATATTTGAATGCCATTTCAAACTCGATCTGCCACAAGGATCGGACACAACACGTATATATGCGTTCATGTATGAATATAATGCAACATTTATCATGCCTTTGCTGCCTTAAATGGTCGAAATAAATAAAATGTGAAGACAGACGAATAACTGCAATACACAAACGTGGACACAAAGGAAATTTCTTAGGGATATAATAAGTCCAAGATATCTCTTTGTGTTGATGGACTAGACAACAACGGCTGGAGTGGGGATGAGTTGGTCAGCGGTTTACGGATCCCTCAGGCAAAAGTAACGTACACACACAAACGTAGTCATTTGTCATTTGAAATTTTCCCATCGTTACGTTCTTGTTTATTTAGCACTGTGCGCTTTTTGAATAAATAGACAAATAGACTGTTACCATTTGGAGGACAGTCAGGTCTTTTGGATGGTTTGGAACCCACTCCTCCTACATGTTTCCTGATATATATATATATATATATATATATATATATATATATATATATATATATATATATATATATATATATATATATATATATATATATTACTAGGTCCAAGAAATTATAACCAATTCTATATTACTATAGCCATGTATCATGGTTTATTTTCTAGGATAAACAAAGAACTGAACTATTGTCTTATTTGATTATCTTAAGCAACACAACAACAATAATAATAATAATAATAATAATAATAATAATAATAATAATAATATTATTATTATTATTATTATTATTATTATTATTATTATTATTATTATTATTATTAAAAAAGAAAATAATAACAATAACAACAATAACACCACTACTACTACTTTGAACAAACACACATATTTGATTATCTTACACAACACACAAATATACTACTACTACTACTACTACTACTACTACTACTACTACTAATAATAATAATAATAATAATAATTATTATTATTATTATTATTATTATTATTATTATTATTATTATTATTATTATTATTATTATTATTATTAATATTAAAAACAATACTAACAATAACAACAATAACACCACTACTACTACTTGAATAAAATTATTAGAAGTCTTGACACCAAAACATACAACTAGTTAAACATACCAACAGAACAAAAACCGATTCTATCAGTAACCCACTGGACACAAATAGCAATGAATGACATGTCATTTGTAATATTGTTACCAACATAATACGCAAAAGTAGCAACACAGAATAAGAAAGGATACAGTCTGGGAAAACACATTGAAGAAATGAATGTAAGAATTTAAGCATTCAGTGAAGAGTATCCTTTAAAAATAAAGCTATTGCCGCTAATTTTATTGTATTCACTACATATTACTGATACAAGAATTATGACACAGCATTAAGCAAAATTACATCCATGGAGTAATTTTTAGTAGCTACATTCTTCTAAAGTACGGTTGTAAGCTCAGGTGTTCAAATAAAAAAGGAATATAACTAATTACCTCCAGGCATCAAACTGTATATACTATGAAGAGACAACAATAAGCATACTAAAATTAAGTTTGCACCGGCTAGATCATATTTTCATTTTGTAAAACACATATTCCTAAACATAATAGTTTTGATTCCAAACCTAAGCTTTTAGCTCCTTCGCTGAACGCCCGAATGCAAGGATGGATCTTAATACCTGCATATATATGTGCTTTTCTTCGGAGTATTAGATAAACACATTACCCTATTTTGACACAGCTTCCCGTGTGACGCTAGGACAAGATTATAAAGTGAATTTTATTAAGAAACTGAGATAGCTTGAAAATCTCGTTGCTCATATACAGAATTTGTAAATTCCATGTAATACTTAAACTTAACTGAGCCTCCTGGAGTCTGATTAGATGTGATGTGATGTGATTATAATTTTTAAATTAGCTTTAACAATTTTTCAGTCATATCGCTAAGATGTCTGCAGTGTGGCAGTTTATAGAGATGTCTAGCACTAGGGCATCATGCCGCAGACATGATGTCCTACCCAGTCACATTATCCTGACACCAGGCCGTCCAGTCGTAACACTAACATCTTAATGCTGAGTATCAAGCGAGGCAGCTGTTAGTACCATTTTTGTAAGTCTTTGGCATGACTCGACCAGGGATCGAACCTACGACCTCCTGTATTTTAGGCTGCCGCTTTAATCACTCGGCCACCGAAGCAATTTGACAATTCTTGAAATATATATATATATATATATATATATATATATATATATATATATATATATATATATATATATATATAGTGTAGAAGGTTATTAGTTATATTCCTTATTTATTTGAACTCCTGAGAGTGATTCAGTTTTCGTTTTTTTAAACAATATGCATTACACCGTTACGTATATCTGATTATATATATATATATATATATATATATATATATATATATATATATATATATATATATATATATATATGTTTTCTATATATGGTTAAAATATTAATAATTGTATTGTATAATCCTTCGTTGAACAATCTCTATCTTTTGATACCTTAGGTGATGGCGTTTTATTTGATAATATAGGTGAGTGGCCGCATCCAGTCACTAATGGCTAATCATATCGAAAAGTGTAAACGGCTATAGCCGTCATAAACATTCAATGGATAAGGGTCAAAATGGGTTTCGTGAACAATAAGCTGATTGCTCGAGTGAAACATGTAAAAGGTTTGCTACTGAATGATTATTATGACAAGAAAATGAAGGCAAAAAATGTACTGTTTGTTATATAAAAAAAGCAAAAATCTAGAATTTGTATTACATGATTCTTTTCATATGATATCTGAATCTTAAATTGGTGACTATTAAATTTTATTATCTTAATCATTGCTCTGTTTAACGTGTCGTAAATGGTGTTCAATGAATGAAATGTATGCAAACTGTTTATAGCATAGATTGAGATATGAATACTGGGCTACTTTTTTATTTTAACGATCTGCTTCATGATTTCCATAGTTTAAGTACGAAGAATCTTTGATAAAAAATATGTTAAAATGGGGACGGGAGTATTCTGGTAAGAGATATGATGAAAACCCAAGAAGATATTCTAAAGTAATATATGAAAAATCTCTGTCGTTTGATAGAGTTTCATGAAAGGAGAAGTGTTCTATTTTCTGTATTTTAGGTCGATCTAAAATGTCGATTGGTAACAAAATGGCGGAAAAGTGCATTTTATGAGCAGATCTTGGGTCTTTTATAATAAAATATCCATGCTTATGATTACATTTATTCTGTGGCGAAGCCAATGCCTATCCATGAATGACTTGAAAAGTTACCCCTTGGTGTGTGTTAGACAAGTTTTTAAAGTAAATAGGCTCTATAAGCTTGCATTCATCGTTCTCATGTCATGTCCTTTTATTTGAAATTGTTCTTGAATTATTATAAATCTAAGGTCGTAACTTCCAATCAATTTAAGCCATAAAGATTACTTGAGATAGCAATTATTCTTTGGTTTGTTATACTAAATAACACAAAGTTGCTTTATCCAAATTTATTTTCAGTAACCGTGAATTCAAGCATTTAGAGTGCAAACGAAAACGAAAAACATCCAGTTAATGTGATTAAATCAGAAAATGCCACCGCAATAACAATACAACGATATTAACTTCACTAGACTGGTGACAGCGTGAAAATATATTCCAGCAATGAATCCTTCAGAAAATTGAAAATGTTTGAATTTGCAGATATTTCAAAAAACAACTTTTACACCTGCTCAAAATTAGCTGCGATTCGTTGCTCTATACGTCTGTCATTTGTTTGCACTTTTCTGAAGTTTGCTAAGAATCATGCCTTTGAAAACTGTCCTAGATTGTCCTCAAAAATTGGTATTGAATTAAAATGCTAAATATTCTATTTACTGATTGTTAATAGGCGTTGTCGTTGTTGAGGTTTGCGTTAAAGAGATTTTTATCCACAGCAACAATTAATTAGCTAAAGGAACAACTGTAATTATGTGGAATGTATGTCGGAAGTTATTACGTTCCTACAAGGGTTACAATGGAGACCGTTTAAAAATATATTACGTTGTTAGTGAATAAACAAATAATTTTGAGATCGAGAAACGTTTATTGCAAAGCATTTTTATGATAAAAAGGTGATGAATGTTAACTTTGATTCGAAGATTCTAAACATGGAAACTGAATTTTTTCCATTAATTCCTTTAGTATTTATGTGATATAATTTTAGATAGGCCTGTTAAACTGTTCTAAATAGTAGTTTTATTGGTATGAAAAGTGGTTATACCAAACGTGTTGTAGGGAAGGTGGGAGTGATTATATATATATATATATATATATATATATATATATATATATATATATATATATATATATATATTCATATTTTAATATTTTTGTTTCAGCATATCTAATTAGTAAATTATCTGATGAATGAAAATACGATAGTCAAGGTATTTTAGCTACATAGTAGGTGTAGCATTGTTCATAAACCAAATTAGTAACATCGCAGTCTTTTTAAGCATCTGACATCAACTCTATACGGTACTTTCTAGAGCTTAATAGCATATATTCAAAATAACTTTCAGTCTGGTGATATCCTTCAGATACTATATTTAATGACTAAATTGCATGGACGACTTATCTTGCCATTACTTTGACTCTTATAGCATTCTTTGTTTATTCACAGTAAGTGGGGAAGTTACGCAACCAAATATATAGGTACCATCTGGAAGTTTGTTTGGTAAGCTGTGAATAAAACTATGATAACTGGCCATGGAATGTGTTTATATCAGGAAAATTTGAAACTATTAGTTTAGAATATGCGTAGGAATATACGTATATGTGCATTTCACATATACTATATTATTTATTGTAAACAAAGCTGACATAATATTGGTTTTTTGGGTACCTTCCATTTATGTGTGTCAATAATAGTTGCCTGACTTCTTCGCAAAATTATTATCAGTAAACAACAACTCTCAAATCCTGCTTTATTCCTTTGAATGAGCACAAACTCCAGTGAACTGCCCTTTCGGAATTTCATGTGATTTGTTTTTTGTTGAAATGCCTGTTTTAAAAAGATAACTGGTAAGAGATTTAGTTAACGTTCAGATTTTTGTGTCGTTGGTGGCCTTGAGACTCTATTGTTAGTTGTTTGTCGCCTTGCTAGGAATAGTACTACTAACCAGCTTATTTCCTAATTAAATATTAAGGCACACGTGTAGCTTTGTGATGGTAAGAATTAACATCATGTTTTGTTCAAATTTATATCAGACTTATATATAAAACATAAACGCAAAGGAACTTTAAATCGATGTGATTCAAGTCACCTATCTCCGTTGTTTACAATAGAAACACAGTTCTAAGAGCGCATATTAAGAACAGAGCAGATGATACACAAATGAAAAGAAAAAGAACAATCTGTATCTCTCTACTTTCTAAATGTGTTGTTTTTGATGAAATTAAAGAAATGTGATTTACATTTCAATAAGTAACAAAGATTATGGAAAAATCTCATTATAGTATAATTTTTCCGACTTTAAAAGATTATGGAAGCTTACACATGCAGAAAGAAAATACTACAATTATGATGAATATTCACTGACGTTAAACGCTTAATTATATGAAAAAAATATGTTTTGCATATTTGAGGACATACCATGTTAGCATAAGTAAAAATGCATTTTTAAAGTCTAAACATTAGAAACGTAAAACTGATTCGATTATTTTCATATTACATTCTGGGCAAAATATTTTGACACTTTTTCTTGATTAATGTGATTAATGTGATTAGATTATTTAAAAGCAATATTTAAATATTTTTACATAAAATAATTTGTGTTTAATGTTTGTAACATTTAATAATGAAAACATTGCTTTAAACGGCACACTCCACAACATTGACTTAAATAATAGATCATCCATTTGTACTGTGAATTTAGGCGAACTCAAATCTGTTTGTTTACTATTTACATCAACTATATAACTATCTTACATAACTATATAACTTATTTTTTCATTATTCTATATTGTTTCAATCACCGTATCATAAAGGTTGATAATGTTAGTTCCATTGTCATTACCCCTTTTGTACTGACTATATGTATGCGACAATATGAAGATCTCCAGGACAACACTGCTCCCATTTATTATTGTTTTCAGTTTTAGTCTTCTACTCATCGATCGAAGATTTCGAAAGATTTCGTAAGTATATATTCTTCTGAAGAAAGAATGAATCCACAATTGAAGTGTACATATTTGTTTCATAGTGGATGACGTATATTTTTTAGAGAGTGCATAACTGATGGATGTATTTAGAGTATACTTTACTATTTATATGACAACCTCCGTACATGTATATCCAAATCAAGTTTACTACCTATTTGGTTTACAGATCATTGCATGAAATGTATTATTTAGATTATAATATTATTAAACATTTACTTAAACTAGAAACCTTAAGAAACAATCTACCGCAGAAATGCTCAATATGATTAAGTGAAATCTATCACTGTAGATGTGTTATAACTGATGCATTACATGGTAAGAGTGCACAGGGGATATCTCACAGTTTTTCATGCAGGATGCGTGAGCGCTAATTATCGGCAGTGAATGAAATAATTAGAACAGAAACAGTACTATTTCATATTCATCTGCAAAACGATTCACAATGTAAACAAAGTTTATAGCCTTCGAGACACACGATCTTAGAAAAGTGAAGGAATGTATAAATGAAGTCACAGCAAGGGATGATTATCAACAATTTTGCTAGTGTCTTTCAAAAACTTGAAAAGGAAAATAAAACAACTTTCATGAAATTTAGATAAGAGACTTTCTTTTATAAGTCCATCTATCAGGATACAGATAGGGCTTGATCTAAACTTAGGAGGGTCTTTGCATCTGGATATCCATTTGCTGCAGCTATACTAGCGTTTGTGTTTATGGTGATAATATCTAGGCATTAAGGTGTTCAATTTTACAACGTATTTGATCCTATTAAAATTGCAGATTAGGCTGGTTATTTTGTTGCTACAAAAGGGTAGCATTGCAGATTGCTGTCCGCATTTGGCTTTAATCTTTGTTAACGTACGTATAGTAGTGTTTTATAAAGATACGATTTAAATGTCTCTAAATGCCTGTTTGTTTCACATTAAGAATTCATTCAATTAATGTTATTTATTTCGGTAAATGTCAAATTTCGTTAT